TTCACGTTTTGATGATTTTATTGAAATGTTTGATGATTCCCCATACATTTCCTTATAACAGGACACCACAGAAACCAAGCTTGGGCTACCTGTGGGTACAGTAGCGGGATATCCTCCATCAGCAGCAAACCTCGCTCCTCGCTCCTCAATTTGCAATGCAAATTGTCCTATGCCCAACTGTGGAAACATCCCATAGGTGTGCGAGTCATTCAGATGACTTGGAAACCTTAAAATATACAACAGTTCGCACCATCTCCACACCGTTCTTCGAATTGGTCTTCACAAACTCAAACTTCAAGTTCCTTGTTAGACTCTAGTCCGCAGCCAATGGTTGTAACAAAGAAAACTCCAGTACACAAGTACACAGAATTACAATTAAAAACTGAACTTTTTGAGTTTTACTATGCTTATTTTTGGAGTTCATATGCTAATCCTTCTGTATAAATAGCCCCCGTCCCCAATCTCTATAGTCTCCCCCACAGCCGCTTTCAGTGTCGTCACGCAACGCTTTCTCCCCTTACTCAGAGGAGAAAGCGCTGCGTGACGACACTGAAAGCGGGTGTGGGGGAGACTACAATCCCTAGGGCCCTTTAGAAGTTCAAATTTATTCACACACAAATAAACAAAAAGTATAAATTTTTTACAGAATTGTAGGATAAAGATATAAAGTATATAATGAAGTTACAGACCGATGAACAATGAATTCCAATTCGGCCGGAATTCCGCTGAATCGGAAAACCCTATTTCATGGTTTTACCGCATGTGCTCTTAGCATAACAAAAACTGTCTCCTTGCTTTACAAAGCCTTAAATGAGCCTATTGGAAATGAAAACCCCCAAAATATAGAACAATTTACAATTCTACTAAATTTCTAAGCATATCGAAATACGATCAATGTCCCGGTACCTTAAATCTTACACTACAAATTGATTAGATGATTTCCTAAATATATGTGTTATTAATGACGATTTGATCGAAGGTAGACATATTGGTCTGAAATTTTTAAAGAAAGCGGTAGCGAGTTTCATAGCTTTGCAGTGTTTACTGAAAACGACTTAGGAAGAACTACTAGATTTTTGTCTGCTGAAATTCAGAGAGCGGAAATGTTTGTAAGAAGTAAGGAGTTTGACAATTAAATAATCCGGAATGTGATTATGTAGAGCAACATAAGTATCATCTAAAGTCAAATCTACTGAGATCTAACTGTCACCGACTGTAAAACAATCTTGCATGCAGCAATTACTATATTATTATGTTACCTTTATCGACTGAGCGTTTCAGTCTATGCGGCGACGCCCTTCGTCTTCCGTGTCTGCTTCGTTTCAACTCGCATGTTCTTGACTTTCGTGTCTGGAGTTTAAAATAGGCTCCTGATAATCCTCCAAGAAACGAATAGTTCCTGTTACGATACTGCAGTAGGCAAACTTTTATGAGCTTTGTTTTTCACGTGTGAGCCAAGTGCTGCAAGTAAAATCAAATAATTCTTTCATTTTAAGTCTTACGTATTGTTTCGGTTCTATCAAGGGTACTAGGACACCGAATGTGGTTGGATTTCTATAGTTTTTTTTTTTTTCCTTTCGATTATTTGAATTAAATTAACGTTATACTTGTTTACTTATCTTGTGTCCGTGTTCCTTCGTTCGCTCAAGGGCGCTAGGGCAAAAATTGGTGGTTTTTTAGCCGTTAGACTCCGATAAATTGGTGTTTTTTTTAGCCGTTAGAAACTGTTTAAACTGTTACTCATCTGTTCTGTTATGTGCTGGCTTGATTTTTTCAGTTTTCCCGTCTATGTACGCCAAAAATACTACTGTGACCAACGGTCCAATCGTACGTTTAACGAACTACTGTATCCTATACCTGTCTCGTGACCGCTTACGTAAGCGTACGCGTCGGTTAATAAGTTAAAAGGTTAATCCAAATTCCCTAAATAACCCACAGGCAGCCCAAACAAGGTTCCTGTGTATGGTTTTATAAGGGAATGTATGGGAGTTATGATAAAGTTACGAAAATAAAATGTTTCACTCAACGATTTGCTTCAAAACTTGTTGCAGTCGTTGCTTTTACTTTGTTCAGTCTTCTGGATTTATCATAACTCCCATACATTCCCTTATAAACCATACACAGGAACCTTGTTTGGGCTGCCTGTGAATAACCAAGAATGAATTCGTGACCGCTTACGTAAGCGTACGCGTCGGTTAATAAATTAATAAGTTAATCCAAATCCCCTAAATAATCAAGAATGAATTCTTGGTTATTCTAGGGGATTTGGATTAACTTATTAACTTATTAACCGACGCGTACGCTTACGTAAGCGGTCACGAGACAGGTATAGGATACAGTAGTTCGTTACATACGATTGGACCGTTGGTCACAGCAGTATTTTGGCGTATATAGACGGGAAAACTGAAAAAATCAAGCCAGCACATAACAGAACAGATGAGTAACAGTTTAAACAGTTTCTAACGGCTAAAAAAAACACTAATATAACGGAGTCTAACGGCTAAAAAACCACCAATTTTTGCCCTAGCGCCCTTGATGTTACCCAATGTCTAGGCTCGACAGTGGTTCGTACACTAGCGTTGGTGCTGCATCTTGTCATCGCTTTGTAAACACACTGCCACCCCACCTTYCAAAATAATTGGATTAAGCGAGCAGACGAGAGAACAATGGCAAGCAGGCTAGTAGCCTACCCCGGGGCTCTATATGGAACTTAAGGTGAATTTGATTAACCATATTAACTCTAGGACGGTTGAATATTACTGACGTAGGGAGCATCGCGCGGTCGCGTTGTTGTTGGTATAGTACAAACAGAGTCAAGTACGGAACGACCGTTAAAGA